ATGCGCAATCGTGATCAGGTTTGGTAGAGCAGAAAATCCTATAACCTACATGAAATGGTCGGGAATACTGTGTCAGTTTGTGAAAGACGCAAGTGGGCAACATTCTTCGTCACTGGAACTCAAAACAAACCAGAACATGAACTGCCATCTAAACACAATCAACCAACAACGCATTCCACCATATAAAGAAGAGTAATAGCCCGTCAAAGGACGTTCTTGCACGTTCGTGCCCAATTCTGCTTTGAAGGGTTTCATTGAGGGCATCTGATGAGGCCAGAGTCCGCATTCCGTGTGTGCCACGTTTCAGGGTAGCCTTCGTCCCATTGCATAGTACAAGCTCTCAACTCCCAAAACCAAGTACAGCAGTTGTGCATCATTGTTCCCTGTTGATGGCGACATTTACTCGGCGAACGTTTGTCATTCGATTGAACTTGCCCAGACCAACACGCGGACAGATTTACACTTTCCGGCTGAAACAGTTTCAAGAAGCAAACAGTCAGTCGCAGATGAAACAAGTCTTCGCAATGCCCTACCAATCGTTCCACCCGTCGGGTTTTCCGGGTGAAAGAGCGTGTACTTTCGGTGCTGTGAAGAACTTCGGGAGTCATACGATGTCTGTATCTGTAATTCCCACATCTTCGAGTCACACCTGAGGGCGCGTTAGTCATGCTTAATGCAAGGTATGACAGCATGCCTTGACGATTTCACGTAAGAGATCGCACATCCGAGGCAAGGTCAGAGCCCGGCGTGTGCCGGAACGGAGTGCATGAGCATCGACGAGCCAGAGATGCAGGCATGTCGCCGATTTCTTCCGAAAAAAAGGGAACACAGCAAAACGCCTTGAGAAACCGCCGGGGGTGCGAACGATTTCGAAAAAAATTCTTTTGTTGATTCTAATTCACAACCCCGCTGAAAATTACACGTTCTGGTGCGGCCTTACGTCCCGGATGCCATAGGATCGACGATGAACGTGAGTGGTTCATTGCGGAGTCGACGTGAGACAGAAANTGGCGACATTTACTCGGCGAACGTTTGTCATTCGATTGAACTTGCCCAGACCAACACGCGGAAAAATTTACACTTTCCGGCTGAAACAGTTTCAAGAAGCAAACAGTCAGTCGCAGATGAAACAAGTCTTCGCAATGCCCTACCAATCGTTCCACCCGTCGGGTTTTCCGGGTGAAAGAGCGTGTACTTTCGGTGCTGTGAAGAACTTCGGGAGTCATACGGTGTCTGTATCTGTAATTCCCACATCTTCCAGTCACACCTGAGGGCGCGTTAGTCATGCTTAATGCAAGGTATGACAGCATGCCTTGACGGTTGCACGTAAGAGATCGCACATCCGAGGCAAGGTCAGAGCCCGGCGTGTGCCGGAACGGAGTGCATGAGCATCGACGAGCCAGAGATGCAGGCATGTCGCCGATTTCTTCCGAAAAAAANCATTGCGGAGTCGACGTGAGACAGAAAAGCTGCTTGTTTCGGATATTTCGTCATGAACGTTTTTCTGAACATTTCCTCGCGTACTGCACCCAATTTACCCAGTACACACTTGAGCAAGCGTCGGCTGGAGTGCAAAACGCTGCCCAATCCATGCGCATGGCGTAAGTTTTCATGGCAAGTCCAAACACTTCCTACTCTGTAAAAAGGAAACGTGACAAACGCCTCAGGCTCCCCGGGGAAGGGCGAACATTGGCCCAACCTCGCCTTGATCCTCTCGTTGGTGCTTTCTACTT